TTTTTTTTTTTTTTTTTTTTTTTTAAGTGTGTCAAAATACAGCTACGATACGGAAGAAAAGCTGAACATTCTGGAGGGACTTTTAAATGAATTTGTCGAAAGTAAGACATGCGCATTTGTGTGCACTCGAGTGAAAAATGTTAGTCCCCTGATGTGACATTATGTGATAGTAGCGTGACAGGAGGGCGAACGCAATACGTGTAGATATCCCAACTTACCTACCTGCACCTTTTCGCCACACATTTCCCATCCCCGTTCGTATAGACAGTAAAGGCGTCATATTCAACTCCCCCGAAGAAAAAAAAAAAGTGGAAAAACACAAGTTTAAAAAAATGTGTGATTTAATATTAGAGAAGGTAAAAAGAGTAGTGGAACTCAGCGCTATTAACAATTATCGCATAATTTTAAAATTTGGTAAAGGCGACAGAAAAAGTGTAGTGCTGGACAAGGTAAGAAATGATGATAGCATATCGGATGAGCTAAAAAGGGAGCTGTTAAAATATGAAGACGTGGAAAGTAAAGATGAAAATGTTTCCAGCCTGGTCAATTTTATATCCCCCATTTATGACAGATTTATACAAAAGCTAAATGCATTAATAAGAGAAGTTTCTACCGATTTGGGAAAAATAATATAGTCCACACGGGGGAAGGTCATATGTCGCTCCATGTTTTGCTGTACATATGAACATTTTACACATGTCTGCACCCCTTTAATCATTTTTTTTTTTTTTTTTTTTTTTTTTTTTTTTTTTTTTTTTTTTTTTTTTTTTTTTTTTTTTTTTTTTGTTTGTTTGGCAAATTTTGCCATACTTCCCTTCTGTACACCTCACCATTGATATATGTACACTTCCCATTTTTATGTCTATTCATACGTACTTTTGAAATTTATATGTACATGGGTTGGGACGATATGGGGAGCCAAGTCTGTCGATGGGGTCCACCCTACGCAGTTGGAAGAGGAACTCAGCAAGCAACTTGTGTAACCGTGCAAACGAGCTTGCCGCTAAAATAAAAAGGAATTAATTTTTTTGATAAAAGTACCACCCCTTCATATTGTGGTACATTTCTTCAATAGCCTTTTTTGAATTCCCCCCATCATCCCTTCGCAAACCTTGCAACATAAAGTGTGTGTAAAATTTTCACCTGGGTGACAATCTTAGAGGAGCCATGTATGGGGTAGGAAGTGAGACATCCCTTTTGGCGTCACTTATCCTAAATTATATATTCATTTATGGAAAAAAAATTCTGCCGCCTGTCCACTGGGATGTGGGCAAAACACACGGTTGTTACATAATAAGGCAATTTTGGAAGAACTCACAAACAAAAAAAAAACTGTGTAGAATTAAAAAATAGAAAACTCGAGGCCAACACGTTGTTCGGCAAAAATGTGCCCCTATATAAGTTGAAACACCAAGGACGGGGGGGGAAAAAAAGGTGTACGTACCATTGTATGCACACAAAGCTATTTAGCATGCAGTGGGAACACAGTTTCACACGAGGTGCATTTTCGCCATCTTGTAAGGTGTAAGTGTATAATGCGTATGGACCGTCACATCAGTGAGTACACAATTATATTTAGTGATTGCGCAAGAGAGCTATCTGTGCTATACAATACTTTTTTTTGTTGCCGTGGAGTCCGGGGAAAAGCCCTTTTTTGTTTTTAGTCGCTGCTAAATAGGGGAAATATGGCTTTTTTTTTTTGAGGGGGGGGCTGTTAGGTTAAAGGGCGAAGGGAAGGAAAAAAAAAAAAAAATAAACACCTTGTGTGCACTTAAGCATATCAGCACACGTACATACGTTACATACAAACATATGCGTTAAGTATAATGTCACATGTACTTGTACACTCTGTGCGTATTGCCTACTAGCATGTATGCCCGTGCCACCCTTTCCGTAGTTAGGCCGTTTTGTTTTTATCCCCCGAGTGGCTGTACATGTAATACATGCATACCTATTATGCGCATATAAATATACATATATATATTTATTTATATATTTATATATTATTATATACAGGGAGGCTTGTATATGCGCATTTATCCCCCCTCCGTAGCGAAGCACTCCTAAAAGGATCCTGGGTGGCAGTTGCTAGTGGTACTACGCCCCACATCCAAATAAAAAAGTATTCTGCGGCATGGAATGCCAAATGAGGTCCCTGTAGAAAACGTGCTTGCATTGTTATATTATTATGCATACCTAAGCTTTGGGGCAAAAGCGCACCGTTATAATAAACTGGGGACGTGCCTAAATATATGCACGTACTTTTCATACGTATGGAAATGTATACCCTATGTCATGCACGTATAACGTACCTACTCGTATGGAAGTAAATATGTACGTATGTATGTACCTGTACGTATGCTTATGTAGCATAGCGCGCACTTTGGTGAGGAATGCCCCCCTCCTGTACTACTTGCTAACGGCCTAATGTTGAAGAAATAAAGGATTCTTTATAATGTACGCCTAAAAGGCACGTGCGCAAATTTGTTTGTTCACTTTTTTGTAATTTGAAAAGTGATTCTTTCGCTCTACCTACCCCTTCTTCGTCGTTCCCCCTACTCTTCTTTTTCTTTTTCTTAACCTTTTTTTTTTTTTTTTTTTTTTTCCTTTTTTTTTTACATTTCCCCCGTTGGCTTTGCCCAATTGAGTAGTATAATGCAAATAAGTCACAGACGTTTGTTTCCTTTTAGTCCGAGCATACGTGTGCCCGCGTGGCCACGTGCACGATCGGTTCATTTACACGCCTCTGTGCTCTCTTATAGCACAACCTGTTCTTCGTACAATTGAATCATTATATCACAGACCCCCAGCTGCTTCCCCCCAGCACCACTATCCATTCGCATGCCCCGTACGTTCAATTGTAACTCCAGGGGAGCGTGTTTCGAACAAGACGTCTTAGATAATAGAATAGCAGAACAACACAGTTCTGTACGCCCCCCCCCCCCCCCCCTTTTTTTTTTTTTACACAAGAAGCATAAAGTAAGCCATGGATGAGGAGGGGGTGTCCAACAACGACAGTTCTAATGATGTACTAGATGAAGAAAATTGTGAGGAGGGAAGAGACTTTTCAGATATTTCATTTGGCCATCGGGAAGAGGAGGAGGGTGGCCTCCACGTAGGTAGCGTTGACGGCCATAGCGGCGATGGTGGTGATGACGGTGATGGTGGCCATGCCGGTCTGGACGTAGAAGACGTTGATGGACAAGGAGCGGACGCGCCGGGTCAAGAAAAAGATGCCGAGGGAGGTGGAAACCAAGAGGAGAAAGAAGAGGAGGAGGAAGAGGAAGAAGAGGAAGAAGAAGAGGAAGAAGAGGAAGAAGAAGAAGAAGAAGAAGAAGAAGAAGAAGACGATGATGAGGATGACGATGAGGACGACGACGACGATGATGATTATGATGACGATGAATATGACGAGGACGACTTCAATGAGGCCACAGTGTCCTGGATCGAATGGTTCTGTCAGCTGAAACAGAACATCTTCCTCGTTGAAGTGGATGAAGATTTCATAAGAGACGAGTTCAACCTGATAGGGCTCCAAACAAAGGTGCCTCATTTTAAAAAGTTATTAAAAATAATATTGGACGAAGACGATGACGATGATGACGACGATGAGGAGGAGGACGATTACGATGAAGAAGATGATGAAATAAATAGAGGCTCTGATGAGCTATATAAAAACAAAGACATATATGAGCAAAATGCTGCCTGCCTTTATGGTTTAATACACAGTCGTTTCATTTTAACTTCTAAAGGACTAGCGCTCATGAGGGAAAAATACAAGTCCAGCATCTATGGTACCTGCCCAAGTATATATTGTGATAATGCTAAGTTATTACCCACTGCCATTTCGGAAGTACCCAAATTTTTAAGCCCCCTTTTGTACTGCCCTCGTTGTTGCGAAACATTTTATCCACATAAAAATTCTTTAATTAATCAATTGGATGGCGCCTATTTTGGCACCAGCTTTGCTTCCTTCTTTGCGCTCTCCTTTAATATTCAGTCAGACAAGAAGAGGATTTATTACACACCTCAGATTTGCGGCTTTACCATTAATAGGGACATACGGGAGACGTTGTACTTGGACATGAACAAGGACAACAGCGAGTCGTCGGAGGAGTATTCGTAGTGGTTTCTCCAACTCTTCGCGTGTGTATGTGTATGTGTGTGTGAGGGGAGCAGTACCCCCTTCGGTGTTGCACGCACGCGCACAAAAGGGGGGAAGCGTCCCACGTGTGCAGAAAAAGGAAACGAACACCCCAACACAAATGATTCTATAAACGGCTCATCGAATTTTTTGAAGTAACTGAAAGGGAGGTCACCACCACCGTGTGGGTGTGTACCTGGTGTCCAGCAGTGTGACTCGTTTATACTGTTGAGATTTTATTGTACCTGTTGTGTGTGGCTCCGCCCACCCTTACCAGGATGAGTCACTCCATTTTGTATCCTTACTTGCCACTCAAGTTATATGCGAATGATGATGTACCCGTCTCAGCTCATGCCAACTTATTATTATATAAATGTGACAAATTTTTTTTAATTTATAAAAATGTTACAAGAATTACTTTTTTTTTTTTTTAATTTTTTTTTTTTTCATACATCCAAGCAAATGGGTGTCTTATAACTCAGCTATACAGTGGGGTATTTTTTTTTTTTTTTTTTTTTCCCCATTCCTTTTTAAGTGCTCCATTTATTAATGCAGACCTGTCCGCCGTTCACCTGTTCCCTTTTGTGGAATGCGTGCAGGCAGGGTTGTTTTACATTTCTGGTTTTTCTGCGCTCGCATGTGGAGGTGTTCACACACACGTCTTCACATATATTGTCAGCGGCGAAGCAACATTTTTTGTAATTCATCCGACCATGCTCTTCTGCCCCTACCCCTCCCCTTTTCCATGTGAAACCTTTTTCCGAGCAAAGTGAACAAAAAACACATTTGCAACTTTGAATGGGTTTTAAAAGTTCTATTGGATGTGTAGTGACTGGCCGCTCGGCCGTGCAAATGGGAAGGGTCTTTACCTGTTTTCCCCTCTAAAAAAAAAAAAAAAAAAAAAAGTGCCTTGCAGCGAAAAGGGAATTCCTTCTTGGAGCTAATCAACTTTGGTGTATGAGCCGGGGCTGATAAGTCACCACGCTGGCCCTACACATATGCGGCATCACCGAACAACATGGTGAATCCACCCCAAAGAAAAATTTTTTAAACGGGAAAAAAATAAAAAACATACACGAATGTACACATTTGCGCTGGCATGAAAGGGACACTGCTACAGCGAGGAACCACTTCTTAATGATGTGGTTTCCGTTGCTGTAGCGCTATGCCTCGCTATGCCCCGCTATCCCTCCCCTTTTTCCCAAGAGGCCTCGAAACAAAGCACCCATCAAACGGACAATCACTTCGCTGCGTCTACCTCCCGCTCCAACCTATTTCGCAGCTCCCTAATCCGAACCGTCAAGGTGTGATCGGGACCGAATGTTTCCTGAGCAACAGCGTAGGATCGAATTAAGCAGGTGATGGCAGAGTGAGTATCATTTAACCCTAAATAGGAAAAGGATAAATTATAATAGCATAAGGCTATCTGTTCATTTTTGTTCAGCTCGATAGGAGAAGAAATTAGAATCCTTATGCAATCCTCAAAATACCCAACAGAAGTTTCAAACTCTTTCTTGTGCTGGTACAAAGAACCCAAATTATTCAGTGTGTCAATGATTAAATAATTTTCATTCTTAATTATTAGCTTCTTATTAGCTAATGACAATTGTAAAAATTCTTCTGCCTTTTTTAAGTCCCCCATATCTTTGTGTACAACGCCTAAGTACGTTTGTATGTTTGCACACATGATGCTCAATTCTCCAAAAATTTTTTTATATATTTCGAAACTTTTTAAATAATGATTTTTCGAGTCATTTAGTAATAAATTTTTGTGTTCCATAATGGCTAGCTCTAAATAGTGCTTAGCAATGTCTTCCGAGCAGTATGTACAAGAGAGCAACTTTAACTTTAAACTTTCCTTCAATAATTCGATAAGCTTTTCTGTGTCTTCATTTTTCAGCTCGAATCCGGAGTTTATGTATGTATCTTTGGGTCCACTGTACCAAACTTTTTTCCCTTCATTTGTAAATTTCCTCGTAGTTGCACCGAGGAGCCCTTTGTGCGGGGACAGTCTACCCTTGGTCACCAGGCTTTGGAGAATTCTACAGGCGCTCATTTTGGCCCGCAGCGGATGCTCGTTTTTGGAGAAAAGGGGGACACTCACAGGTACTGCGTAGTGCTTACTGATTGCTGCTTATTGGTGGGTTCCCGTTCCGCGTGTGCAGAAATTCACCTGGACAATTTTCCCAAGCTGGTTTTAAGCGGCTCACTGGCACATTTTCCACGCGCAAATTTGGACGGTGGAGAATTCCCCCATTGGGATGGTCTATTCTGCCCTTTCTGAACCCACACCGGGTTTTCCTTTGTGTGTTTGGGTAGAATGACCACCTGCTTGCTCGTTTGGTAACCCCTCCCCCTATCCCCCAGTCTCTTCTGTCCCTCCTCCTACGCTCTTTTATTATATATTTTAAGCCACTTCAACGAAGCCTAATCGCTTTTTGCCTTTTGACAAAATTGAGGACCTCCCTTCCCATGCTTAAGGCAACAGGAATTCCCCCCCTCGTAGAATTGGCAAAATTTTCTGGTACATATTTTTGTGCTTGTGTTTCTCCGTGTAGGTGAATTTTTTTTTTTTTTTACTTCTTATTATTTTTTTATCTACCCGTGTGGATTCACCTTGGCCGCGGGTATTATGTGCACAGAGGAGATGGCGCAAAGATAAAAAAAAAAAAAAAAAAAACCGTTGCGTGTTGCTTCCCTTCTACGTTGTACATCGGCACACCCGTTGGGACGGTAGTCACGCATAACCGAATGGAGGAACACCTGCTCGTCATTCGCTTCTCTTGAAGTGTATGCCAAATGAGTGAACCAAATTAGAGGAACCAAACACGCTTGGTGCAAATGGCCTTAAAACGGATGTGAGAGAATCCCGTGAGGGGCGCCCCCATGTAGAGCATTCACCTGCCCTCATGGGGACTCCCCCGCTCGTCCACGTTTGGACATTTGGGCAGTGGATAACATGGGGCTACCTGCCCTGATCACCCGCAGACGACTGGTCACGCAAATCGCCAAACAGAAGAGTGTATCAAACCAGCTCTTAATCAAATTGTACCTGTACAACGTGCCGAAGATAAGTATCGACTTGTACTACGACATCGTTTCTGCGCTGAAACGGGATGGGCCTAGGGTTCAGGAAGAGACTCGTATTTTTAATGTGCCCCATTTCTCGGACGAAAATTTGATTTTGTATAAATATTTCCAGTATGTACATTCAGGATGTGATAAAGAAAAGTTACTAAAATTAATGCTCCTTCTGTATAACAAAAAGTTACGAGAATACAACGATAAGAAAATTTATTTTTACAATTCGTGTGTGCATGTGCACAATTTTGTCTTCGAACATTTTTTTTATTACCTTTCCAATTTGTCCTACTTGAGGAGAGCAGATGGAAGGAGCGTCCATAGCAAGTACACACTGCACACAGATTTCTTCCTATACGCATTGGACTTTTATTTGTTTCATTTGACAAAAAATTGCAAATTTCTGAGCATTGAACAGTTGAATGTGCTTTCAAATATTTACTCAAATGTGAGCATCTCCCCAGATGGACACTCCGGCGAAGGAAACTCCCGGATGGGAGGAGAATGTATACAGAGGGAAACTGGGGCGAAGAAGGACTCGTCCGTAGCGTCCGCCAACATAGTTGAAACGAACGCAAACAACAAGATATGTCTGCTGTTTATTCAGATATCCAGGGGCATCATCGCCCAAACGCAGTCCTACATCTTGAGAAAACGCACCGCTTCGCGAGAAGAGGTCACCACCCCCATAAAACTAACCCAAACAAATGTCAACACGTGTAAGACAATTTTAAATCAACTCTTAAACAAAAGCGTATCAGAACAACATCGAGAATATATCATTTTAAAAAAAAAGTACAAAAACAAATTGCTAAATGTGAACACTTTAAAAAATTACCTGAACGCTATTAAATACCTGAATATTATTAACATAAAAAAATATGTATACATGATCCTTTACCTATATTTTAATTCATTCGTATTTAATAAGTCGGTCTACTTTTCCTCTCTCATCTTTTACCTTTTACAAAAATATAATTTACACCACACGTACCTGTTTAACATACTGTTTATCAAGTTTAACTTATTTTTTTTGAATTACAAAACTTTGAATGAGTACAACAAAGGGGTGTTGCTTGATGCAGTTGGGAGATATATTGACTCCCTTTTGACATTTCGAATTAAGCAAAGTGGTCATGGCAAACTCAAAGCAACAGAGACAAATATAAGTCCCAGAGAGGACCACCCGGACGAACTTTTCTCCAAGATATATCACAACGAATTTGTAGAAAATGTACACATTTATAAAAAACTCCACGAGGAGGAGTACAAATGCGGAAGAAATTACCCCAAACATTTTACATACTTTGAAAATGCCTTATTCAACTTGTTTAAATATTTGTATCACAATGTCATATTCGTGGAAGGCGGAAAATTGACAGGAGGGACAAACTTCGGGGAGGAAGAAAGTGTTACACGTATGCGCAAAATTTTTGTGGACAAAAAATATAACAAATTTTGCCTGACCTGGTCAGAACATTTTTTGTCAAATGTTGTGTTGCTGTCCAATTATGTGCAGAACTGCCTCCCCATTCTTTTTTCCTTCATGCAAAGAATTGTCATGGTTGGGGTGAAATACACCAGACAGGGGACGAAGCGAGTCGGGACTTTCACTTTACATAAGAGAAACATACTCATTCCTTGTAACGAAGGGGAGAAAAGCGCCCAAGCACCATGTTCACGGTATGCACACCTGTGTAGGAATAATCCCCATGTGAAAAAAAAAGTAGCATTAAACCCATTTTCGTCCCTTTTGACGCACATATACGGCACATTTAAACAGGTAGTTGTTAACTGCAGCCCAAATGATGAAGAGAAAATTACGAAGAAACCCCCCAAATGGGAAGAAGAATCGATTATGTTTAAGAACATAAAAAAAAATAGCAATAACAAAATGCGTACGAGTCTCACACATTACTACGTTAGCAGCAGTTTTAAAAAAATCAGTGACGGGAACTTGATTAATGAGAAAAACATTTTGACCTTCTACTGCGACATATATTTTAATAACAACATTGTGGAGGTTGACGGGCCCAAGCATTTTCTTATATACTACAATGTTCAGAATAATGGTGACGAGGGCAGCCAGGACAAGCAGTTTGGTCAGGGAAGCCAAGACAGGCAGTTTGGCTCGAATTGTGAGCTCCCCTTCATCGCCAAGCATAGGGACATATTCGACTTCAATTTTGTGTTTCCTTTCTTTTTCAACAACGCAAACGTGATGCATTTGAAGGATCACCAAAGTGGACACTTCTACTTTTATAATGACAAGAGCTTGAAGAAAAACTTTTTTTTGTACATCAACGGTTATTTTGTAAAGCACATAAACTGCTACGATCGGGACATCATGAGCTTCAAATATTTGCACGATGTGTTGTTCAGGCGAAGGAGCGACTTCCACGTCGCGCGGTGTGGAGCATATCATTAGGCCCAGTGTGGAAAATGAATACCTGCTGTTCTCGCGTATTGGATTGCCAATTGTGTGGGGGGCTACCCGATTAATGACCACACCTATAATTTGCTACTTGCTGGTTGCCACCACTCCACAGCATCTCGGAAACAGTTCCCCCATTAAAGCATGATTAAAAAGTCTTTTATTATGTTGACTGTTTTATTATTTTTTCCCCATTTTTCATGTTAAATCTGTGCCATCGCGTGAAATGAGGTGCGCACGGGAGAGGGACCCCGGCTGGCTGCAGATCGGCGTCCACACATACCCACATTGACGTGTACATCTTAAATGTAAAAGCATGTACAAGCATGTACAAGCATGTATAAACATGTATAAACATGTACAAACATGTACACACGTGGACTTGCGGAGCATTTCAAAATGAAGCCCCGTTCAAAATTGCACAAAAACGAAGGGGGAACCACTCGATGCCCAACCGGGTGAGGCAACAACCCAACGAATTAAACGGAATACACACATATTATGTAAAAGCAATGAGATGCGTGTAATTGGCCTACATTATGCACACACCGCGATACTCGTAATACGTAGTCGCGCTTCCCCCACCTGGATTTGTTTTCCTTCCCCGCCGCGTTACTTTTAGCTATCCTTTCACGAGGGACCGCAAAACGTACTTCAATATGCCTCCATTCTTAAAATACTTGACCTCGATCTCCGTGTCAATTCTGCACAGAACATCAAAGGAGATGGTCTTGCCATGCTGGGTCATCTGGACCTGTATGTGTTGCTGGGGACGCAGGTCTCCTTCATTTAGCACAATGGAGAAGGTCTCTGAGCCATCCATATTGTAATGAGCAGCACTTTCATTGTTCAAAAATTGCAACGGAAGGACGCTCATACCAATAAGGTTACTTCTGTGGATACGCTCAAAGGATTCGGCCAGGATAGCTTTGACTCCGAGGAGGTAAGAACCTTTGGCTGCCCAATCTCTAGAGCTACCACATCCATATTCCTTCCCAGCAACGACAATAACGTCCACATTGTCTTGTTTATATTTCATGGCGGCTTCGTACACGGACATGATTTTCTTAGAAGGGATGTGTAAGGTATTGGGTCCTTTATCAGGGCACAATTTGTTTATCAATCTGATGTTGGCAAAGGTCCCTCTTACCATGACTTGGTCATTGCCTCTCCTAGCTCCATACGTATTCATATCTTCATCCTTTACATTTTTGGACTTTAAGAATTTATAAGCTTCGGAACTTTTGTGAATCATACCAGCAGGAGAAATATGATCTGTGGTGATACTGTCCCCCAGGAATAGCAACATATGTGCATTGTTAATGTTGTGTATTTTTTCAGGATCCAATTTCATATCATTAAAAAAAGGAGGCTTATGTATGTATGTTGAATAGACATCCCATTCGTATAATTTGTCTTCCTTTATTTTTATATCATTCCAGTACTTGTTAACGTATTTTATATTTTTATAAATATCTGTGTACATGTGTGCTTTGAGGTACTGCTCTTCATAGGCATTGATTTCTTCCTTTTTTGGAATTAAATCCAGAGCCTTAATTTTCTGTCCCCCTTTTCCAGTGAATGTATAAGAAGCAACATCTACATTGACATTTCCAATCAGACTTAGCAGTACGACTAACACTGGGGAAGCAAGATAATTTGCCTTTACCAATGGATGTATACGTCCTTCAAAATTTCTATTCCCTGATAAAACTGAAGAACAAATCAAATCATTTTCATTAATAACATCTTCCACTTCCTTGTCCAGGTGTCCACTATTCCCTATACAAGTCATGCATCCAAAACCAACATTATAGAAACCTAATTTTTCTAAATAATGTAAAAGTCCTCCTGCTTCTAAATATTTCTGTACTGTTTTGGAACCTGGAGAAAGAGAACTTTTAATATATGGGATGGGTTCTATTCCGTGTTCTATAGCTTTCTTCGCTAACAACCCAGCTGCTATCATGGAGGAAGAGTTACTTGTGTTGGTGCAAGATGTGATGGCAGCTAACACTACACTACCATGTGTAAGAGTATACTTCTTTTCATCCTTATAAGAAAACGAAATTACTTTTTCCCTATCCTTCTGTGGTATATTATACCCTTTGAAGCCCACTGGGGATTCCAAACAGGAGCTAAAATCTTTGTGCAAATTGGATAGCAATACATTGTCATGTGGTCTCTTAGGTCCAGACACGGACAAACTCAACTTTGATAAATCTAATGTGTACACATCGGTGTATTCTATATGATCCATATAATTATTAAATAAAGAATTTTTAAGTAGGTACTCCCTGATCAGATTTACCTTTTCCTTATCTCGACCAGTTTGTAACAAATATTCCAAGGTAGTATCATCGACTCCAAAAAAACCCACAGTCGCCCCATACTCCGGGGCCATATTTGCAATAGTTGCTCTATCCCCTAACTTTAAATCTTTTAAACTTGGCCCAAAAAATTCTACATATTTATTTACAACTCCAACTTCCTTTCTTAAAAAGGACGTAATGTACAGAACAATATCTGTACTTAGCAAATGGTCAGATAATTTCCCAACCACATTTATCCCTACTACCTCTGGCAACGTCATGGATATTGGCAAACCTAACATGGTTGCTTCTGCTTCTATTCCTCCTACTCCCCAACCTAAAATACCTAACCCGTTTATCATGGTGGTGTGAGAATCTGTCCCAACTAAACTATCGGGATAAAGAACTCCATTGTTGTTAAAAACACAGTGCGCTAAATATTCTAAATTTATCTGGTGCACTATTCCGGAACCGGGTGGCAATATTAACATATTTTTAAATGAGTGCATTCCCCACTTTAAGAATCTAAATCGCTCCAAATTTCTTTCAAATTCTTTTTTCTCATTTAATTCTCTTGCTTCAGGACTCCTGCTGTGATCCACTTGGACAGAGTGGTCAATAACTAAATCGACTGGAATAAGCGGATTGATTTTATTTGCATCTCCGCCTAGCGCTGCGGCCGTGTCTCTCATGGTCGCCAAATCCACTATACAAGGGACTCCAGTCAGATCCTGCAAAAGTACTCTGGCAGGCATAAATGGAACCTCCTTTTTCTTCCGGCAGTTATCCTTCCATGACAAAATCGTTTCCACATTATCTTCGGTAACCTTCAAATTATCACAATTGCGCACAGCGGATTCGAGGAGAATTCGAATGGAGTAGGGCAAGCTTTTTATCCTGCTGTCGTTCAGCTCATTCAGGTCATAGTAACTTAGGTCCCCCTGGCCCAGCTTCTTCCTCACCTTCTCGAACGGGTTACTCTTGCTGCAGTAGGTCCGCACACAGCTGCCCAGGTTCACGTTCAGATTCTTCATCTCGGACGGCAGTAAAGGGGTAAAGCGGTTAAGCGGCGAAGAGGCAAAGCGATGAAGCGGCCAAGGGACGACGCGGAAACACGTCCGAGTGGTGGTATTGGGAACTGCTGAACGGTCTCGTTCCTCCCCCGGGGTACCCGCTACTAATGCTTCTCGCGCGTTCCTTTCAACGGATGGCTCGCCGCGCACCTTCGAACTTTACAAAAAGAGATACGTTAGCTCGAGATTTCCCCCTTCTCTGTTACACAATTATGTGTGCTACTGTAGTGTTACTTCAAATTTGTTACTCCTCTTTTTGGTGTGTGCGTGTGTACGTTTGTTCATTCCAGCGCATTGGGAGCATTTTTTTTTTTTAAAAACGAGTGGGGCAGCGGCACTTAGTGGGAACGAACAAAATTGGGCAAAAAAAAATAAACTGGGCTAATTCCCCTTAGGTGCGCTGAGTCGCGTACACGTAAACGTTACACTGGAGAACATGAGGGAGGGTTCCTCAAGGTGCAGTACTTTACACCCTTGTGCAGGAAAAAAAGAAAAAGCCCTTTTATCAGCTTCTCCGAAAATTTTAAAATGCTTCTTCCCGTTTAGCTCATCGCAAGAAATGGCTGTGTGTATCCTTTGGGATTACTGCGCAGAAATTGGCAACGCCAAAAATTGAGGTGAGATTGGCCAAGTTGGTGGGAATCGCGGAAACGAGATGAACGCGGGAAAGCAAAAGTGAATTAAATGTGGTCACCCCTTTGTACACTTACATGCTTGTGTATGCATTTACACGCTTGTGTATGCATTTACACGCTTGTGTATGCATTTACACGCTTGTGTATGCATTTACACGCTTGTGTTTGACAAAATGCGGATCAAAATGCGGATCAAAATGCGACGTGGGATGCATTGCGTGTGTCACCCTTTATGAAGTTCTTTTCATTTTTTTTTTTTTTTTGTTTTCATATGATCCACTATCGTTGGGAGGGGTGAAAACAAACGCAAAAAAGAAAAAAAAAAACTTACGGCCTTTCTTTAAGGGTCAACTTTGTCCCATTTTAAGGGCACGGACAATAATTATGTCATTTCGTTCATTCTGTTGTTTTGCTTTCGAAGGGGCGCATTAAGGTGTAATTTTCGCCTGAGGCATTTTGTCTGCCCAATGAAGCAGCACACACACACACACACACACGGGCAATACATATATACATACGCACATGTCCACATGTTAATATTTGGCCCACTTTTCTGACCCCAGCAAAGGGGCAACAAAGCCTAAGCAGCCGCTGCTTTAATCAGCAAAAATGCCTGCCCGCCTTAAACGGCTGTACGAATAAGCAACATTGCAAATTGACAACGTTGTGTTTACTTTTTCGCGCCACAAGGTAGGGAAAAAAAAAAAAAAAAAAAAATCCGCCATTTCGGTAAATGTACCACATGATGTTCATATGGGCGTAATGTAAAGCTTAACATAATAGAGGAAAGATGGCGCCACATTTTTCATCCCACAGAAGATGTTTCAATTGTTATTTACCCGTTTGTGAAAAACATTAAAGAGAGTAAGGCGACATTGAACACTGAAGTTGAACTGGTGATCATACTTAACATTTATATGTTCCCATTTTAATGTGAATATTCCCTTGGGTTAAAAATAAAATGTACCTTTTCGTTTATTCGTCCACTTTCACTGCGCCGGGCATGGACCAATAGGGATGGCCGAAAACAAATAAAAATGTGTACCCTTTTATATCGTTTTGCCTACCAAAAGGAACTGTGCTGGGAAAAGATAAAAGAGAGGAACAAGTGGGCTTACATGGGAAGACGGCCCATCCCCATTTCGTAACTATGCAAGACATTTTTACGTATCATGTTGAATATGTTCCCTCTAATGATTTTCCCCAAACGACATTTTTTTTTATCCAACCCTGTGGAGCTACACGTACGAACACTGTTCCAAAATAGCAGCGCGTAAATTTACAAGTGGGTAACCGCGGATGTAACGTTATGCCTAGCCCGTGTGCAGAGGTAATTGTTTATCCTACCGCGTATGTTCCATGCGTCAAACCTGTGCAAGGCGAATAACAAGGGGGATTTCCAAAGCGGCACCTTACCTGTCTCCATAAATATTAACATTATCGGTATAGTTATACGTAAGGCTCTTTCCACCCCTTCGAACAAACTCTCATCGCTTGGGGGACCTATGATTTATTCTCCCCGTATATACGCAAACACATGGACGGAGTAAAAAAAATGGAAACGCGTAATGGCAAGGGTTAATAATCGCTTCTACGTTTCCCCCCTTTTGATGACCCTCATTAGGCATAACGTACGAACGTATAACTTTTTTAAACACTTAAAAGATTAAGCAAACAAGTGGTAATTAAACACACGGGATACGTTTGCATCATTCTATTTTTAACTTTTACCATTTTAACTTATAATTTTTTTTTTATCATCATTCTGCGTTTGCGTTCCTCCATTCCGGTGTGCAAAATTAAAAGGGAACTATTATATAGAAATGCATTTCCCATGTGGCCATATAATAGCATGTTGCTCAAGGGGGTGTCGCATCTACTGCATAAAAATATTTTACCCTCGCTTGCGCAAGCCAGCACCATTTCAATGCCGCGATTTTTTTTATTTTCCTTTACCCATATAAAGACTTTCCCATGTGCTGAATAGGAATTTTCTTTTCAACTGTAGGAGGCAACTTTTTTCTCTTTTTTTAAATGCCTCCAAATTATTACATACAAGAACGGGAACATTAAACAAAACAAAAGCGTATCCATTTTATATTGTTATGCCTATTTGTGTGATATGGCCCCTTTTTTTTTCCCTTATTGGTAGGCTGCAAAGTGTTACGAAAAGGGGGGTAATATAGGAGCGAAAAACAAAAATATATAAAAATAAAATACAAAACTTCACCATTGCACTTGGGCGGAAACGCACATAATTATTTTATATGCTCCGGGGTACTTTTTTTAAAAGCGGGACCTATTTGTTATTGCGCAGATAAGAAAAAAAAAAAACGTCACATTTTTGGAACCTCCCTTTCATTTTTCGCCCTTGCTTAAATATTTCGACATAGCAGTATGATGGTAGATATGCGGCTTGGCTTTATCACGTATATTATTAAATATATATACATGAGAGGGCACCACTCCGCTGAACACGCATAAAAGAAATATACGCTTAACGGCACAGTGCAAAATTGTGTTCATATGGTACAGGGCAAAACGCGCCGCCTGCAGTAAACCACCCCCTTTTCCAATACCTGCAATGGCTTGCAAAGTGAACCGCGCCAACAAGTTGCCCCCAGGCAGTTGTTGCCCCGCACGTAAAACTCACAAAGGCAAAAAAAAAAAAACTGTGGACATAAGCGTGCGTAAAAAATTCCCATGTATTAAAATATAACCCTACATATTACGCGCGAAGGAACGGTATCCCCTATGTATGCAATAAAATTGCCATGTGGGCCCAGCGCGGTTTAGGCTTGGGCTTTTCCCATGTGTATATGGATCGATCCACGCGTGCATGACAGGTTATAACTTTTGCCGTCGTATCTTCCTAAAGCCAGGGGCATGCCCCGCCCCCGGGAGGATAAATTATGCTAAATGGGATATTATCCCCATATATATTTTTCACCCCACTGGCACAATTTCTGCAAAAAAAAAAAAACATTCACGTTTGTGGCATACTCTCTCTGCTGCTTTCCTCTTTTGCTAGCTTGTTTTTCACTGAGCTTCTTGATTTGGCAAAACGACGAAAAAAATTTAAAATATATGTAAATTTAACCTATCCTGTAAAAATATATATTTAAAAAAAAAAAAAAAAAATTATTAACAAGTCATCCCATGTTGTTTACGCATAAAAACAAAAAAAAAAGAACTTATTGTATTTTTTCCCATTTAGAAGAGAAAGTGAGAGGAAAAGCCCATTTTCTTTTTTTCCTTTTTTTTATTAAAGCCTTCTTGACAATTTTATATCTTAAGGAGAATATATAAAAAGGTAGGTACGGCTTTACGCTCATTCTGCAGAGTTGTTTGAATGCATAAGCGGAAAGGGAGAAGAAAAACGCGTGTGATATTTTTGTTTGTTTTCCCCCGTGTTTTTAGTAGCCCGAATTTTGGCGCTCGCGCGAGTAGCAACGAAACGGCATAAGAGTTCTTCATTTCCCGTTCACCGCGATCGCGAACACAGCGTGTTACCCAATCACCGCTTGACACTTGTACCCCCTACACTTTTTTCTTACAGCAGCGAAAATGAAGCTGAACATCTCGAACCCACTGAACAATGTTCAGAAGAGCATAGAAATCGACGATGAGAAGAAGCTACTTCCCTTCATGGAAAAGCGCATAGGGAACGTCGTCCCCGGGGATTCCATAGGCGAAGAATTCTTAGGATACGTGTTTAGGATAACCGGAGGAAATGACAAGCAGGGATTTCCAATGATGCAGGGAGTGCTCACCAACAACCGTGTGAGGTTGTTATTTAAAAAGGGCATGAAATGTTATAGGCCAAGAAAAAAGGGAGAAAAAAGACGAAAATCGGTAAGAGGATGTATAGTGGGCCAAGATTTGTCCGCACTAAACCTAACCCTAGTTAAGAAAGGCACAAATGAAATCCCAGGATTGACCGACAAAGCAGTGGGAAAAAAATTAGGACCAAAAAGAGCCTCGAAAATTAGAAAGCTTTTCAACTTGGATAAAACAGATGATGTTAGAAAGTATGTTATTGGAAGAGCCATTTCTAAAAATGGAAAAAACAGATTCATCAAGCCAAAGATACAAAGACTTGTTACAGAAAAAAGGCTTCTACGTAAAAGATCACTCATAGCAAAGAAGGAGAAACGCAGATTAGAAAAGAAAAAAGTAATTAAAGAATATAAAAAGCTCTTGAACAAGTACAGAAATGATTTGCTGAACAACACGGATGATACTGCAGGAAAAAAGAAAAAAGTTAAAAAGTCCATTTCGAAAGATTCCCAGAAAAAAGACGCAAAGAAAAAAGATAAAAAAATTTTGAAGGGGGACAAAGTAGAGGCAGGCAAAAAGGACATTAAAAAGGGCACTGGCAAAAAGGAGGTAGCCAAGAAAGACGCAGGAAAGAAATTGGCATCGGGATCCGCAGCCACCGGCAAAGTAAAGGATGAGAAGCAGTCCAAGCAGGACAGCAAAGTGGTGAAGGTCGACAAGAAGGCCCCCGCGAAACCTCAGAAGGAGGACGTCAAGGGTGGCAAGAAGAAAAAGTGAAAAATGTAACCACGTATGTGTGCATGTAGCTGTGCCCGCGGCAGGAGGGGGATAACCTACTAAGAGAAGGAATCGCGGAATAGGGGACCAACTTTTAGAGCAAACTGGATCAGATAAAGTGCGAGCTGAAGGAGTAGGAGTGATAAGAGTGGTGCCATGCCATCCCACCCCCAGATAACACCCGCAAACGAAGCACCCACACTCGATGGCGCGAAATTGTTGAAAAAAGACCATTTCCTGCGAAGCTCAGTAATGTATACGTGGACCAACCCCTCACGATCCCCTTCTGCGGCTCCTTTACGTCTGCGTCCCTTAGGAACAAGCGCCGCGATGTAAAAAAAAAAAAAAAAAAGCTGAATGGGCAAACGGGCAAATCACACATAATGTTGCGCTTGCATAAATGCGTACGCTATGTCTGCACACACCTGCGCGCAACCTTCCTCCAGCCCATCACCCCTAATGTGCAGTAACACACCCCTCCACGCGAACTTAAATTTTTACTCACGATGTTTATGCTAACTTTTTCGATAACTTTTTCGCAAACTTCCAACATATTGGACATGTTGTATATATGTACCGTATATAACTTTACAGTATGTATTACCTTGCCTTTTAATTTTAAAAATGAATAAAAAAAAGAAAAAAAGAAGAGGTAAAGGAAGAAGGTGTCATTATGTGCCTTTCCCCCGCTGCGCTTTAGCAAATGGTGAGGTTGCTCCTGCACGACTCGGCAAACACCCCTTTGGTGTGGTGCTCAACGGAACGTCCTTTTTTTTTCCCATGTGCCCGCTATGTAGCGTGCCATAATGCGAGGATGCAACTTCCTGTACTCAGTGTCGCCGCATTGGACACCCCACTGGCCAGTAAATCCTTCCGTTGGGTAAGGAAAAAAAAAGGCGCCAAAAATTAGCACATCCATATTAGATCAGATTAAGTTAAATTTATTCGCTTCATTTTTGGTATAGTTTTTTAGGGAGTTTTCTTAAAATGGCAAACGCAACGTTGAATTACATCAATGTTGCTCTTAACTGGGGTTCCCCAATCCGTAGCACCATTACACCTTTAAATGACCACACCCTTGCACTGTTGTCACGGCCAATTGGAGGAGAATCTTTTCCTTTCTGCATCAATGGCATATAGAACTTTCCATTTTGGCATGCACAAAAGTGTAAGGGGGAGGGTGATGTTCGAATAAAGCACTGGAATATAGCTGGGGCTGCAACAACATGTCCTACGCGTACATATTTACATGTATACACATAATTATTTATCAATTTAACTACCAATATTACTCTTTTGTTGCTTTATTCCTCCACGCGTGACAATTTTTTTTTTTACATTTAACAAAACGTTGCGCGAACAGATGAAACCTCAGAGTTGTAAGCAGGCATGCACTTCCTATATTATAGCAGGGGACAGCTGTGCCTAGGATTTGCATATATGTTTATATGTACGCATCCATTGGCATCCACAAGGTTTTCCCATCGCGAAGGTTCCTGTTGCCATTAAGCATATTCTACATACATGCGTGTATACGTTTAGCACTGCAACATTGACCTAAGCTAATATTATTTCCTTTTTTACAAATTTATGACCATCGTGAAAAAAAAAAAAAAAAAAAAAAAATATTTTGCGCCTTGACGGATTCGCTAGCTGATGAAGGCATAATAATACGTGCGCGACGAAATAGCTACATTTTTTTATTAAATAAAAAATGGTTTTTATTAACATATTGAAAAGTTGCTGACCCAGCGGATGAGCAAAAATATGTAAATTTGAATAAATCGCGGCAAAGTCTTCCCCACCTTTGTAGATATGGCATATTTTATTTATGTATATTCTTATTCCTTATTGGAGCTATAACACGAATGCGGCTTATCCGCTTAAAACCACTGGGATCATAGCGAATGCATGAGTTTTGGAAAAATGCTCATATATATATTGTTCTTTTTTCTTTTGTTTTTTTTACAGTTTTGATTACCCCCCTGTCCCTTTCGTTGCTACTGCTGTTACTCTCACGCGCAGCAGGGAATTACAATACATATGTATTTTTACATCACGTTTTCATCATATATGCGTTGTTTCCACCCCCTTTTTTGAATAATGGCATACGTATAAGCTTAGCAGGGTGATGTCCTCGGCTACGCTGATAAGATTATAATTTTTTTTTGTGAAATAGGGACATCGTTTTTTTATTTTTATTATATATATATTTTTTTTGTGTGTTTGTACTCACTTCACATGCGCTTCCTCGTATATAAATTTCACAGCACGTACATTTGTGTATACTCGCACGTGAGCGTACGAAGTGTGTACATATATATATGTACATTTCCCAGGTGACACAGGGGAAGTCCCTCCATTTTTTTGTAATTGCGTAAATATGTGAATTGATAAATAGGCATGTGTCATCTTCGTATATTTGTATTTTATGATTATGCATAAAAATGAGTGAGTCTTTTTTACAGCGTTTTTATTTATGGAACACTGATAAGTGAGGGCATATATATATATTTTTTTTTTCAATCCTTTTTGGGAATTCTTTCCACTAACCCTGTGAACGTTATTTACAGCAGGGTCGTCACCACCCACGAGAGCAGCTCCGTTTTTATAAATTTTGTTTCAATACAGTTATGCTCACCGAACGCTTATCCCTTACGTGAGCTCTCCCTTTTCAGTTTTTTTTTTCCTTTTTTTTTTTTTTTTTTTAACCATCTGCCGTTTTTTTTAACATAAAAAGGTGGGAAAGAACAAAAACCCATCCACACAGAACTATTTATGTGAAGCTTAAAAAAGGGAGCATTTAGAAGATTTGTTCAAGATGGGGGCCCTAGACGAGTCTACACCTGTTCCCTCCAGAATGTAATGATAGAAAAAAAAAAAAAAAAAAAAAAAAAACAGTGCACACGGAGCAGTGGCGCACTGATTAGGCTTGGGCGCCATTCCCACGGCACGCAGCGTTGTTATGTGTTATCGAATGTGCGAATAGCACACATCTTTTTCATAAAAGGCTGGTGGATGGGTTAATTGTCGCCATGCGCATGGATGGCCATGTTTCGTTACGCGACTGACCTTAGAGGAACACTTTTCACCAGTTCGTTTCAATGCACTTCATTTTGCCACTCTGTCCTATACTCCCCGTAGAACACTACAGCTGATGAAACAAAAAAAAAAAAGCGCATTTCAAGGCTACTCCCTGTTGAAAAAAAAAAGTGACGCGCTGTTCATTCACTTCAGAGATGTACTGAAGGACATTGTGAAGGTAAACAAAATGACGAGAAGAAAAGTGTTGTCGCAAGAGGCCATTTTTGCTCCACACATTAGTCACCACCCGAATATGTTATTTAATTGTGTTTTTTTTTTTCCCCTCTGTGAAAATTTCCCTTTAGACAAAAACCAAAGTAGGCGAGGAAATGGGGAATGCCTCGTTCTCATTAGCCAAGGCAGTGTGGGCCGCCGGCGATTTTAAAGGACAAATTATTGAAGGAATAAAAAGACCCGTTGTAACCCTTTCCCTGTCTACCAATAATGTGGCCGGTGTGAAGCTTCCCATTTTCCAAGTGCATATAGATCCCACCGTTGACGTCTTGGGGAACTTAGGAATTGCTTCAGGAGGACAAGTGATAAATAATACGCGAGAAAATTATTTGCAGTGTCTAAATATGTTAGTCAAATTGGCATCTATGCAGGTATGTTAAAGGGGAGGAAAATGAAAGGAGTAATATGCGTTTTGGGTCATTGAATTGGAGTTTACCCTTGTGCTTCCCCAGCATGATGCCGCCTCTAATGTTTACGCTTTCTTTCAGCGCTGTGCACACGTTAGCACATACCTGCATGTGCATTTGTTAAACGTTGTTCTCCTCTCCCTGTTGTAGGTGGCGTTTTTTTCACTCGACGAAGAAATCAAAATGACCAACAGGAGGGTGAACGCCCTAAATAACATCGTGCTACCCCGGCTGGATGGAGGAATCAATTACATCATAAAAGAACTAGATGAAATAGAAAGGGAGGAATTCTACAGACTGAAAAAAATAAAGGAAAAAAAAATTGACAAGTTAAAAGACTCAAATGTAGAACAACTACCTGATGAGGATAATGAGGAAAGTGTAAAAAGGCATGACAATTTTGCCACGTCACAGAAGGATGATGATGTTATATTTTAAGCTGTTCAGTTTTACACCCATGTAGTATGATTTGTATGGTTACACACATGTTACTTTGTATACGTACGCGTAGCTTTGTCTAATAAGGCGAGACCCCAACATTTGCGTGAAGGTATGAGCCAACAGTCTAACAGGAAGAAGAAATCGGTAGGGTGATTCCTTTTTTATTTTACCCTCTCGTGAACACCATTGAAAAAGAAGAGGCCTTCCAAAACAGCTCTCAGCTTCGAGCTTGGTCGTAAGTGTAAGCGTGGCACAGTCCGAGCTCTGAGGTGCACTGGTCAGATTGCAGCATGTACGTAGGAATTTCTTCACCCCACTTACCCCCCACATTTGTACATATGTTATGTGTTGATAAATGCCGCAATGTAAAAACCACCGACAGGGTAGCTCAACGGACAAGAAATTCCTGTGTTGCTAACCCATTTGTGGGCAAATTTGAAACAAAAAACAGAACTGAATGGACCTTTTTTGTCTCGCCTAAATTGTACTAAAGGTGGTATAATGTTTTCCACCGTTGGGGCACGCAGGACGGGGTGATGACGTGCAACATTTTAAAAAATAATTCGTAGAAATATGTATCATGCATAAGGTTCATTACATTGTTGAATTCGGCAATGTTCACGGAATGTGCTGCCGAATGAACACCCAAACGCAACTCCCGTGTTTAACTACGTGCACATGCAAAAAGAAGCATGTGTTTTATATGAATAACATTGTTTGAGTAACCTCCATAATTATTTACCGACGTGAAAAGCGCAATATGCGCAGTAAGCGTGGTACGCCTAATAAACATAATATATGTTAAATGTCCCTTTAGCAAAAGGGAACGAATAACTCAACCCCATATAGCATATTCAACGTTTGCACGGTCAACTTTGCTTTTAAATAAGATATGCCTGTCCAAAGGTTTTTTCTATTTTTTTAATACACCAAAATATGGGCACACCGGAGGGAACGAAAAAGAAGGGAAATCCCACACGCCGCACATCGAAAATTAGGACTGTTCATAACATTTTAGTATTTTTTTTTTTTTTTTTTTTTTTTTTTTTTTCCAACTTCATAGAGATTTTTACTTTTTTTATTGAAATATCTGCGAAGAGGGGCCTCCGGCTATCCTTTGAACGAAAAATGTATAACTAGCTCATTTTTTCAGCTTAAACAGATTTTATTTGGGGATACAACTTTGCCTGACTGGTTCATAAAATTCTACAAAAATGTTGTTAATTTTATGAACATGGAATATTTGTCCACCACTTTAATGCACACTAATGGTGTTTTTTTTTTTTTTTTTTTTTTTTTTTTTTTTTT